CAGCCTCGAAGCTGCATCTGTGGAACACAACCCAATTTGGTACATACTTTTATAAGTATTATGACCCATCTCGCCTTGATTTCTTTATGTCAGATTCCGTTTTAACCGGACTCAATTGTCTCAATTCCGTGGCACATGCTAACCAGGTAGCAGTGTCCACTTTCTCAACCAATTCCATACCAGTACACGGATGCAGCCTCAAAGCTGCATCTGTGAAACGTAATTGAATTTTGCATATACTTTTATAAGTTTCGTGTCCCATCTCGTAATACTTTATACCGGATTCCGTTTTCACCCGACTCATTTGACTCTATTCCGTGGCACATGCCAACCAGGTAGCAAAGTCCAATTTTTTAAAAATTTCCATACCAAAACACGGATCCAGCCTCGATGCTGCATCTGTGGAACACAACATAATTTGGTACATACTTTTATAAGTATTGCGACCCATGTCGCGATACTTAATATAACCGATTCCGTTTTAATCCGAACCACATTCGCTGAACTCCGCGGCAAGTGCTTCCCAGGTAGCAGTGTCCTCTTTCTCAACCATTTCCATACCAGTACACGGATCCAGCCTCGAAGCTGCATATGTGGAACACAACCCAATTTGGTACATACGTTTATAAGCATTGTGACCCGTCGGGACTTAATTTCTTTATAACCGACTCCATTTTCATCCGACTCAATTGGCTCATCTCCGTGGCACATTCTAACCAGGTAGCAGTGTTAACTTTCTCAACCATTTCCATACCACTACACGTATCCAGCCTCGAAGCTGCATCTGTGGAACACAACCCGATTTGGTACATTCTCTTATAAGTATTGTGACCCATCTCGCCATAATTTTCCTATCCGGTTGCGTTTGTATCCCACTCAATTGGCTCAACTGTGTGGCACCTTCTAACCAGGTAGCAGTGTTAACTTTCTCAAACATTTCCATACCACTACACGAATCCAGCCTCGAAGCTACATCTGTAGAACACAACCGAATTTGGTACATAATTTGATAAGTATTGTGACTCATCGAGCTCAAATTTCTTCATATCCGATTCCATTTTCATCCGACTCAATTTTCTCAATTTCGTGGCACATGCTAACCAGGTAGCAGTGTCGACTTTCTCAACCGATTTGATACCAGTACACGGATCCAGCCTCGAAGCTGCATCTGTGAAACACAACTTGATTTGGTACATACTTTTATAAGTTTTGTGACCCATGTCGCCATACTTAATATAACCGATTCCGTTTTCATCCGAAATGAATTGGCTGAACTCCGTGGCACGTGCTCCCCAGGTAGCAGTGTCCACTTTCTCAACCAATTCCATACCAGTACACGGATCCAGCCTCGAAGCTGCATCTGTGGAACACAACCAATGTTGGTACATTCTCTTATAAGTATTGTGACGCATCTCGCTATAACTTATATATCCGATTCCGTTTTCACCCGACTCAATTGGCTCAGTTCCCTGGCACATGCTGACCAGGTCGAAGGGGCCACTTTTTCTGCCGTTTCCATACCAGTACTCGGATCCAGCCTCGAAGCTGCATCTGTGGAAGACAACCAATGTTGGTACATTCTCTTATAAGTATTGTGACGCATCTCGCTATAACTTATATATCCGATTCCGTTTTCACCCGACTCAATTCGCTCAGTTCCGTGGCACATGCCAACCAGGTAGCAGTGTCCACTTTTTCTGCCGTTTCCATACCAGTACTCGGATCCAGCCTCGAAGCTGCATCTGTGTAACACAACCCAATTCGGTACATAGCTTTATAAGTTTTGTGATCCATCTATCATAAATTTATAGAAATAACTGATTCCGTTTTCATCCGGCTCAATTGGCTCAACCCCGTGGCACACGCTAACCAGGTAGCAGTGTCCACTTTCTCAACCATTTCCCTACCAGTACCCGGAACCAGCCTCCAAGACGCATCTCTGGAACACAACCTAATTTGGTACATACTTTAATAAGTATTGTGACCCATCTTGCCTTGATTCATATAAATCCGATTCCATTTTCATCCGACTCAGTTGGCTCAATTCCGTGGCACATGCTAACCAGATAGCAGTGTCCACTTTCTCAACCATTTCCATGCAGTACACGGATCCGGCCTCGAAGCTGCACCTGTGGAACACAAACTAATTTGGTACATACTTTTATAAGTATTGTGACCCATCCCGCCTGAATTTCTTCATAACCGATTCCATTTTCATTCGACTCAGTTGGCTCAATTCCGTGGCACATGCTAACCAGGTAGCAGTGTCCACGTTCTCAACCATTTCCATACCAGTACACGGATCCAGCCTCGAAGCTGCATCTGTGGAACACAACCCGATTTGGTACATTCTCTTATAAGTATTGTGACCCATCTCCCGTAGATTTCTTTATATCCGATTCCATTTATATCTGGTTCAATTGGCTAAACATCCCGGCACATGCTAACCAGGTAGCAGCGTCCACTTTCTCAACCATATCCAAAGCAGTACACGGATCCAGCCTCGAAGCTGCATCTGTGGAACACAACCAAATTCGGTACATTCTTTTATAAAAATTGTGACCCATCGCTCCTTAGATTCCTTATAGCTGATTCCGTTTTCACCCAACACAATTGGCTCAACTGTGTGGCACCTTCTAACCAGGTAGCAGTGTCCAATCTTTCAAACAATTCCGTACCAGTACACGGATCCGGCCTCGAAGCAGCATCTGTGGAACACAACCAAATTCGGTACATTCTTTTATAAAAATTGTGACCCATCGCTCCTTAGATTCCTTATAGCTGATTCCGTTTTCACCCAACACAATTGGCTCAACTGTGTGGCACCTTCTAACCAGGTAGCAGTGTCCACTCTTTCAAACAATTCCGTACCAGTACACGGATCCAGTCTCGAAGCTGCATCTGTGGAACACAACATAACTTGGTACATTCTTTTTTAAAAATTGTGACCCATCGCTCCTTAATTTCTTTATATCCGATTCCATTTTCATCCGACTCAACATTCTGAATTCCGTAGCACATGCTAACCAGGTAGCAGTGTCCACTTTCTCAAACAACTCCATACAAGAACACGGATCCAGCCTCTAAGCTGCATCTGTGAAACACAACCGAATTTGGTACATACTTTTATAAGTATTGTGACCCATCTCGAATTAAGTTCTTTATGTCCGATTCCATTTTCATCCCACTCATCTGACTCGTTTTCGCGGAAAAGCTAACCAGCTAGCAGTGTCTACGTTCTCAACCACTTCCATACCAGTACACGGATCCAGCCTCGAAGCTGCATCTGTGGAACACAACCCAATTTGGCACATATTTTTATAAGTATTGTCACCCATCTCTCGTAGATTTCTTTACATCCGGTTCCGTTTTCACCCGTCTCAATTGGCTCAACTCCGTGGCACATGCTAACCAGGTAGCAGTGTCCAATTTCTCAACCAATTCCATACCAGTACACGGATCCAGCCTCGAAGCCACACCTGTGGAACACAACCTAATTTGGTACATACTTTTGTAAGTATTGTGACCTATATCGCCTTAATTTCTTTACATCCTTTTCGATTTTCATCCGACTCAACCTTCTCAATTCCGTAGCACATGCTAACCAGGTAGCAGTGTCCACCACCTCAACCAATTCCATACCAGTACACGGATCCAGCCTCGAAGCTGCATTTGTGGATCACAACCTAATTTGGTACATAATTTTTTCAGTATCGTGACCTATCCCGCTGTAATTGCTTCATATCCGTTTACATTTTCAACCGACTCAATTGGCTAAACTCCGTGGAACAAGCTAACCAGGTAGCAGTGTTCACTTTCTCAACCAATTCCATACCAGTACAGGGATCCAGCCTCGAAGCTCAATCTATGGAACACAACCGACTTCGGTACATACCTTTATCAGTATTGTGACCCACCTCGCCTTAATTTCTTTATATCCGAATCCATTTTTATCTGATTCAATTGGTTCAACTCCGTGGCACATGCTTACCAGGTAGCAGTGTCCACTTTCTCAACCATTTCCATAGCAGTACACGGATCCAGCCTGGAAGCTGCATCTGTGGAACACAACCCAATTTGGTACATCCCTTTTTAAAAATTGTGACCCATCTCGCCTTAATTTCTTTATATCCGAATCCATTTTTATCTGATTCAATTGGTTCAACTCCGTGGCACATGCTTACCAGGTTTCAGTGTCCACTTTCTCAACCATTCTCATACCAGTACACGGATCCAGGCTTTCAACTGCATCTGTGGAACTCAACCTAACTTGATATATACTTTTATAAGTAATGTCACCCATCTCGCCTTGATTCATATAAATCCGATTCCATTTTCATCCAACTCAGTTTGCTCAACTCCGTGGCACATGCTAACCAGGTAGCAGTGTCCACCTTCTCAACTATTTCCATACCAGTACACGGATCCGGCGTCAAACCTGCATCTGTGGAACACAACCCAATTCGGTACATACTTTTATAACTATTGTGACCTATCTCGCTTTACATTCTTTATATCCGATTCCATTGATATCTGATTCATTTGGTTCAACTCCGTGGCACATGCTAACCAGGTAGCACTGTACAATTTCTCCACAATGTCCATACCAGTTCACTGATCCAGCCTCGAAGCTGCATCTGTGGAACACAACCTAATTTGGTACATACTTTTTTCAGTACCGTGACCTATCCCGCGGTAATTGCTTCATATCCGTTTACATTTTCAACCGACTCAATTGTCTAAACACCGTGGCACATGCTAACCAGGTACCAGCGTCCACTTTCTCAACCATTTCCATGCCAGTACGCGGATCCAGCCTCGAAGCTGCATCTGTGGAACACACCCCAATTTGTTACATACTATTAAAACTGTAGTGACCCATGTCGCCATACTTAATATAACCGATTCCGTTTTCATCCGAAACGAATTGGCTCAACTCCGTGGCACATGCTAACCAGGTAGCAGCGTCCACTTTCTCAACCATTTCCATGCCAGTACACGGATTCAGCCTCGATGCTGCATCTGCGGAACACAACCGTATTTGGTACATACCTTTATCAGTATTGTGACCAATCGGGCCTTAATTTCCTTACATCCGATTCCATTTTCATCCGACTCAATTGGCTCAACTCCGTGGCACATGCTAACCAGGTAGCAGTGCCTACTTTCTCAACCATTTCCATAGCAGTACACGGATCCAGCCTCGAAGCTGCATCTGTGGAACACAAACTAATTTGGTACATACTTTTATTAGTATTGTGACCCATCTCGTTTTAATTTCTTTATATATGATTCTGTTTTCATCCGACTCAATTGCCTCATCTCCGTGGTACATGCTAAACAGTGAGCAGTGTTTACTTTTTCACCCAAATCCATAACACTACACGGATCCAGCGTCAAAACTGTATCTGTGAAACGTAACGGAATTTGGTTCATACTTTTATAAGTATTGTGACCCATCTCGCCTTACAGTATATATATCAGATTCCGTTTTCATCCAAACCCAATTCGCTCAACTGCATGGCACATGCTAACCAGGTAGCAGTGTCTACTTTCTCAACCAATTTCGTACCAGTACACACATCCAGCTACGAAGCTGAATCTGTGGAACACAACCGAATTCGGTACATACCTTTGTAACTATGGTGACCCATCTCGCCTTAATTTCTTTATATCCGAATCCATTTTTATCTGATTCAATTGGTTCAATTCGTGGCACATGCTTACCAGGTTTCAGTGTCCACTTTCTCAACCATTCTCATACTAGTACACGGATCCAGGCTCGAAACTGCATCTGTGGAACTCAACCTAACTTGATATACACTTTTATAAGTATTGTGACCCATTTTCCGTAGATTTCTTTATATCGTATTTCATTTATATCTCATTAAATTGGTTCAACTCCGTGGCACATGCTAACCAGGTAGCAGTGTCCACTTTCTCAAGCAATTCCATACCATTACACGGATCCAGCCTCGAAGCTGCATCTGTGGAACACAACCTACGTTGGTACATTGTCTTATAAGTATTGTGACCCATTTTCCGTAGATTTCTTTATATCGTATTGCATTTATATCTCATTAAATTGGTTCAACTCCGTGGCACATGCTAACCAGGTAGCAGTGTCCACTTTCTCAAGCAATTCCATACCATTACACGGATCCAGCCTCGAAGCAGCATCTGTGGAACACAACCAAATTCGGTACATTCTTTTATAAAAATTGCGACCCATCGCTCCTTAATTTCCTTATAGCTGATTCCGTTTTCACCCGACACAATTGGCTCAACTCCGTGGCACATGCTAACCAGGTAGCAGTGTCCACTCTCTCAAACATTTCCATACAGTACACGGATCCGGCCTCGGAGCTGTATCTGTGGAACACAACCGAATTTGGTACATACTTTTATAAGT